TCTCAACATGCACTTACCTAGCAACTACACGAGCTGACACAGTTCACTGCAACAAGCAGAAGACTGACCTCTTTCAAGCATGCTAATTTTCATTTGGGTTGACAAAGAGACACAACTTTTGGACCCTCTGAAAAGTGGAATGAGGACAGGATAGGGCAGGGTGAAGGGCAGGACAGCCAATTCCAGAAACAGATGAGCCAGATCTGTTTAAGCATAGTATGAAGTGCCAAAGATAACTGATACATGGTGACTGAATCTTTGCAGTTCTGTGGTGAGACAGACATTTCAGCACATCTATCCATCTCAATCACTCACACTATGACAGCAACTCCTTTTCCCCCACAGGTGCAGCAGCAATTTATGGGCCTTTAAACTGGAAGGATACCAGCGGGCATTCAGCATCCAACAGCATATGACACCCTTCACACTTCAGCTGGAACCATCCTGCCAGGAGAAAAGCAGGCTACAAATAGTCAAAACTCTCCCACAAATGGTCCTTCTGACTTGAAGATGAGGCTGTATATAGCTACTCCATCCATGCATCATGTGGTGGTATTGTTATTTAATTCCATCTGATAAATTATGCGTGTTTCAAGACAGCATGTTGATTAGCAAACAAGAGGGCAAGTATTTTTGTACTTACTTTTTCTAACTAAAATATTTGTATTCCAAGAGCAAGACCCAATCCAGGCTTACAATCAAAGCATACAGTTACATAAAACATCACCACCACACTAAGCCAGATACTCCTGATGACAATCCAATTAGTACTGAAGCTACAGCTTCAGCCACCTAGTCTCAGATTTCTAGTAATTCTAGCAGCAGCTGGACATCTGGAAATGGTTGAACAACAACAGCAGAGGCATTAAAAGTAGAGTAGGAGGATGCCTTGGAAACTACCATGAAAGAAACAGCTCCAATCTAAAGTGGCAAAGAGACTAACACTACTACCTACCTTCAGGTCACCTCCTGTGTGCCTCAGTCTTTTGACTCGCTTATTGTAGTTACAGTTACAAACTAATATTAGAACCAAGCAAAACTTGCTAAATCTTTAACTTGTACGTCTTTTGCTCCTTGCAAGGCTCTAAAATGGGGGTGGGGAAGGCAGGCATTATATGTACAAGCAGACAGAAAACTACTAATACCCATGACAAATACATCTTCCTGTGGACCATTTAAAACCCTCCCTTCCATCAGTCATGACCACTGACCAACCTTACTGGAAAAAAAACACGTACTTAAACATGGGGGTAAAGAGAGTGTTACAAACCAACACAGATGGGGGAACTTTCATTTTTAAGTGAGGACAGAAAAAAAAAAGCTAACAGATTACAGCAGACAGCCTGCTTTAACAGATTGCAAGAACAAAATGGCCATCTACTTTGTATTGAGGATGCTTCACATCTTTGCTTGGCACAAAGAGGGTAGTCTGATCTCATCCATACCAGGCTGTGACTGACAAGTACTCAGCGTGTTTACTATTAAATACTGCCTCAACAACTGACATGTACACAATTGCTCAGACCTCACAAATGATAAGAACGAGTAATCAAAGCAGACTAAAAGTCAGGCAAAGGCTCTATTAGAAGTTACCAAGATGGGCAGCACAAGTTTTTAAAAAGCTATTCCCATCGTTAAAAACTAAGAACTTGAGAAGCTGTACCATTCTGATAAGTTTTCTGAGCCTATGAGAGAAATTACTATCTCTTTGTTGGTTTTGGAAGCGAAGAAATGAAAAACCTTGCAGTAATCATTCTGAAAATTGTTGCAATAGCCAGTGTGTTTTAGAGTTCGTAACAACCTATACTTACTGCAACAGCACCCCATACACAAAGCTCTAAAATGAAGAGATGTTTTAATTATGTGCTTCAAGTCTCTTGCTTCTTGACCGAAACAAGACATGCAATTAGTACAAGGTATTTCACATGTTTAGATGCCTAAGTATAATAGCATCTATAAACTAAAGGGGAAAAAAAATAATTAAGGAGATGTTCTGCCCAAGATTATTATGTGGAACAGTGAATTTGAACGACTCCCCGTTTCCTGTGCATGACTCTGAGACAATTCAATGCGATTAAGAATTGTATGCAGTTCCATTACCTAGTTCCTTAGAGCTTTACCTAAACTGTTCTAGGGGAGTTGATTAACCCCAAATTGCAAGCTCTCAAATCAGAAGTCAAGTTTGCTTCGGACATGCATGTCAGAACAAATCCCCCAAGTCAAAAGTCAGCAGAGGGCACTGTGACACCCCTACAAATTAATATTTTGCTGCTCTTTTTGCCCTGAAAATCACTAGGTCAGTCAGAAGAGGAGAATTCTGCTGCAGCCTGAACAACTGCTACTCCTTCCAGTCACTAGTCTAAACAATAAGTATTCCTGATGGCTGCCCAACAGGGCTTCTTGGACTTGCTATGGACAATGTAGGATATCCATCACTCTCCTACAGAACAGAAAGTCACCACACCAAAACTACAAGACTACATAAGAGACAACCCCAGGCCCAGCAGCTACATAGGGATTAAAAATATTTCTATCTTTCTTATGGCCTTTAAGGAAAAGGTTGTATATGCCTTCTGAACTCATGACAAACAAGTCAGAGAATCAAAGCCACTGAACAGGTATGTCTAGAAAGAGACCAGGAAGAAAATCAGATAAAAATGAGGAAGATTACATAGTGGACACTATGAAAAAGGTCAAGGAGGACAGCCTCAAAACCACTGAAATTAAAACCTCTTATATCACACCACAGCTACTTCTGTGCTACTTCCCACCTTCCTTTTACACGTGAATTTTGCCCTATTAAGCAAAATTAAACAATAGTCTCAAAGCCGTCCAAGTTCTCATTGAACACTTTCCCCTTCCTGGGAAGCTGAACACTGGAAAACTAGTCAAGTCCCACAGTTACGAAACAAGGACACAGAAAGGTGAAAAAGATTTATAAATAATATCAAGGACTCCCTTCTTAGCAAAAATAATTAGGGCACACAAATGACTGACCAAGAGCAAACCGAAAACCAAACTACACAGAACTGCACAATACATTGTCCTTTATTGCCTCTTGCAGTGAACCCATGGATAGCAGTACCTATTCTCTTCATTCCTTGTCTATTGGTTTAGGCCCACAAAGGACTCAATCCTCAAAAATCAAATACAACCCTTAGCAATCCATTTCAGGGGAAAAGCAACTAACTTCACTAGAATCCAGTCATAACTTGGTGTCACCCTTAGAATCAACACAGAATAAGTTGTTAAAATAAAAACTCTCTGGTTACTGCTTTTACATAACAAAGCAGAAACAGGTTCAGCAGCTACATTTGATGTACAGAAAGTCAGTGTATGCCTCTTGGCTGTAGTGCTTGTGTACTGGCTATGGGAAGACCACATTGACAAAGCACACCAACAGCAATTCTTCTCACAGCTTCTCTCTTCCAAACCAACGTCATGCTTTGCCAATCCTGGAACATTATGCTCTATTCACAAGTTTCAATTGTCTTACAAATCTCAGGGAGGGCAGGGAGAGGGAGAGTGACTGCTACTTATGTAGGTAGCTAGATTACAGAAGGAAAACGCATGTGGCAGTATCAGAAGGCTTCCTGACAACAAAGTTTTCAGATGAAATTACACCAGACAGCTTAACAGGGATGTTTGTCACCAACAGAACAGGGAAACCCTATTAAGCCCTGCTTTGAATCTACAGTTCTGCTCCATACTTTGCATTAATTCAGACATTTGTTGGACTGCTTTGTGAGCAGATTCACTTCATTTGCCTAGCAAAAAGTCACACACAGCAAATCTCAGCTCAAGCAACCCAATAAGCACTGAGGCCCCCAGAGTCACAGAGCTACTCAGCAAGGAGCACAAGGAAGACTCAGCTGCTCAAGAATTATTCAACATTTATTAGGGAATATTATTCAAATGAGCAAAATAACCCATAAGTTTCATGAATGAACAGTACTACGCAGAAGAAAAGGCTAGAGGCTGCACTGGAGTTTACCTTTTCTCACATAAAACTTGGACAACACATAAAATGGTACTTCTTACCTAAGGAAGTTTGCCCCTTTGGGTGCCAAAAACTCAGCTTTACACAGACCAGTAAGTAGTAACACTGTCAGTCTACCTCTACATCAGCTGATGACCTATACTAACCACAGACACCCATTTCCTGCTCCCCAGTGCTCTCCTAGCCCTTTCAGCTCTGGCACAAGTTAAAAACAGTTACCAAACCGATTTTATAGGTTCACCTGAATCAATTTACAAGCAATGCTCACTATTTATGTGACAGGCACCAGCAGCCTAAGCTTCTTGCCTCTACAGCCCTAGGAAACATGCCCTTACAGCAAGACACAAGGTGTGACCAGGACAACCTGTGCTCTCTGGGAGCCCCGTGCTAGTTACGTGGGCGCTTCCGAGAGCGAAATGACCCTCTCAGGCACCAGACAGCTCAACCGCTGCCAGGCAAGCCTAAGCGTCACTCTCGGGCAGAACCACAGAGCCCACTACCTCGCCCATTTCGGGGGGGCAGGGAGGGGGGAGAGAGAGAGAGGAGGAGGAAGAGGGGAGGGAATAGATTGCTATTTCTTAAACTCCTAGAAGCGGACTAGTTAATTTAAACACAGCACCTCTAAGCCGTTGGCTGACACAGAACGGCGCCACTTCAGCCAGGCGCCCGCTCCCCTCACCACAGACCAGCTGGCTCTGCCCGACGCGGCCCCCGCCGCACCAGAGGAAGCCTCCCCACCTGCGCCGGGAGTGGCGAACCCGGCCGCTCTGTCGCCCGCGGCCCAACAGTGGCCCGACGGCCGCTCAACGGGCGCAGGACGCCCAACTGAGAAGGACAGGGGGAAGAGGAGAACAAGTTAAAGGGGGAAAGGCGGTAGGAGATCCACCTCCCTCCCACCACCCTCGGCCCAGCCCCACCGGAGGAAGCCCCGGGCCCGCCCACGCCCGGGCGACAAGCCGCTCCCGCCGCAGCTGCCCGCTCCCCGCAGCCCAGCACTCACACCACGGCCCGAGAGATCATCCAGGAGACCATCGCAGCAGCGACGCGGCCCCTCCGCCGCCCGTGCCCGAATGGCGTGGCCCCGCCCCCGCTCGCCCCATTGGCTCTGCGAACTCGGGCATGCGCCCTGGCGACGGCGCGGACCCGTGCGCGGCGGGAGGTGCGGGCGGGGTAAGAGGGGTGAGTCTCCGCCAGTGGCGGAGGGGTGGATACAGGCGAACAGGGGCGGTGTGTTTCCCCTCGGGCACGGCTCGGCTCGGCCCGGCCCGGCCCGGCCCTGCCCTGCCGAGGAGCGCTCCGGTAAGGAGCTGGTCTGCCAGCGGGGTGGGTTTGCCCTGCAGCACTGCTGCCTGGTTTTAGAGTACCATGGGAACACAGCCTTTGCACAGCACCAACCAGGCCTATCCACGAAGGAGAAAGGAATAGATACAGTGAATTAAGAGTGCAATAAGGTACTCTTTCTCTCCTTATCACTTCCCTTCGGAGCAGCGACCAACTCCAGAAGAAAGGCAGGTTGGGACCCGTTACCATTGCCTTTTACTTGCATTTCCCATGCGCTCATATCCTATTTGCTGTAGGATGTGTCAGAACATTCATTTCGCACATTCAGGTCTCTCTGCTGTGGGACAGAGCATGCCCAGCCCCTTGTGCGTGTGCCGAAGGGGTTAGATAAGGGCGCAGCACTTTACCTGGTTGAAGCCCTCACTTTAAGAGCAGAGCTGTGGAGCCGGCTGGCTCCCCAGGGCTGCAGCACCCGTATGAACTGCCGCAAGTAGGTGCTTCTCCTCCATACTTGTTTACAAGCACTCAGTCCCAAAGGCTGTCTAAGGACACATCCTTACATAGGCTGTGCAGACTGCTACATGTAGTTGATCCAAAACTTCAGGTAATTGTAAGGACAGGAGAGTACGTGTGGGAAGAAGTAGTGCCAGTGTGCCTTATTATATTTGTTCCTTCCTTAGATGCCGTGTTAACAGCTACTGCCCAAGGCTTGACACTGGGCAAGACAGTGCACAGCATGACCCAGCCTAGATGCTCTTGTCAAGCTCATGATCTGGCAGGCCAAAACATGCAGAGGAAACTGACTGCTCCCTGATGCCTTAGCTAATCCATTGCAATCCAACTCTGCATACCAGCTTTACATGTAATGTGTAACTGTTTGTACATGTAAAGGGACAATTATTTTTCCAAAACGGACTGCTTTATCTTTTCTCTGAAGAGGAGGTTGTAGAATGTTCTGCCCATACCATTGCTGGAAACATTCAACTTTACTTTTTTCATACCAACAAATGTAACAGAGTGGTGCCCAAAGCAATAGCTGCCAATGCTACTGAGCATGCCAATCAGCAGTTCAGGCAGAGAAAGAAGAGGTTGCTGTTTTCAACACCATTCCTGCTGACTCTGTCACAGTCAATGACATACCAAGGTCAGCACCACAATATATAGCAGAAATCAGTTCTTCTACATATATTTGAGGATAATATGTAGTTTTCCTGCCTGCCATACAGCAAGAAGAAACAGCTTAATATTTGTAACCTATTGTCTTATTCCAATGAGAGGTGCAAGGTGAGCACAGGATGGTTTCTGTTTCACAGGCAAGCACAGAATTCCTCACCTCCTCAAATAGGTAAAATCCAGGCACAGGCATTTTAACTCTTCTGCAGCCTTGAAACACAACAGATGCCGTCAAAAGGCTAAAAGTGATTTGGGAAAGAAAGAAGAGGGTAAATAAACAAACATGGAACATTTCAACAATGACTGTTTGAAAACTGTCACTATCAGTTCTATACTGTGACATTTAAAGTTTGACCTGGGAAAGGATACAATAATATAAAAATAAAGTTTATTTTTACCATGCAGGGATTTGGGTCTTGAAAATGATGCCAACCATCTTGGGTGTCTTCTTACCTCAACCTCTGTAGGGAGTAAAAGATGCAGAAAGAGATAGAGAAGTTTGTTTGTGGCAATTTAAAGTACACCACTCATCAATCATATTTTTTAAACCTAACCTGAGTGCATTTCTCAATTGCATTCAGTGAAAGGAGAAATTTGAACCGCTACTTATATGCCCCTCGAATAACAAACCTCTCCAGGAGTAGACTGTACAAAGCAAACTTGCACACCAGGACATTTGAGATATAAATTGAGTTATAAATTACATTTTAGACTCCAGTTCTGTAAACTTGTGCGGAGGCAGGTCCTCCGCTGAAGGCTGTAGCACTCCAGTGCATGTAGAGCAAACTGCAAGATGAGAGCTCTAGTTTATAGCATAAGTACACAATGTGTTTCTTTTGTGCAAGCAATTGTGCTTTTGATTCTATCTCAGAGAACCATTTCAGAAAAAGACTGATACTCTTTTTTTACTGTCTGAGTTTGTGTATACATTAATTCCATAGCTGCATAGTTTATTTCATGTGAAGTATGTTTAAGAGGGGAAAAAAAGCCACTCTAATTTGTATAAAGACATTTATTTTTCTTGCATTTGTTGCCATGGCAATACTGTGTCTGGTAGAAAGCTAAATTTACATTTAAAGAGGCATTTTTAAAGGGTAAATGCAGGTGGCTCCTAAGAGTATTTTATCTTGCTATGAAGATTACACTTTATTTCATAGAATGTTTTGAGACTTAATTCAGCTGAAGAAGCTGGGTGGTGTTTGCTGGGCCCCCAGCAGACAAGCAGAAGGGTGCCACATGGACTTCCTTGTATTCCAGTTCACACGGAGTGATAATCTATGCTTCTGCATGGCAGAAACACAGGGAGCGGCATGACAATTAAATCCATGCCATGTAGTTATTCAAACCTGGGGTGTCTTACTCATATGTCTGTCTATTTTTATATAAGGAAGAGACTTACAGCTCTCTCATTATAGGATATTTTTTAAGCCCCCCTCTCCAAAGCCACTTACTATAGTTAAAAGTTGCTTTAAATAGTTGTAAGAGTGTTTGGAAAATCACTTGCAAAGGTCACCTATCATCAGTTTTCTTTTAACTTTGGTATAATTCAGTGTATGCATATAAGCATTGATGTTTAACCTTCACCTTTAGAAGTAAACAAATATTTTTCCTACTTTGCAGCTTCAAAAACAGCAATTGTGCAACATCTAGGAAAACACTGGCTAGGTTTTGACAGCTTTCAATGGTGACTGTGGGCGCCCTGCACAAGGAGGATGAGTTCCCCAGAGACAGTACCATTTTCATGCTGCTTCTGGAAATTCATCTATCTTAGTCAGTGCTGGGTTTTTCTTAACTTTGCTGGTTTGTGTGAATGTTTTAAATTAATCTCAAATATAGAACAGTTTTAAAAAAAAATATACAGAATTCTGTCAGTTACTGAATCATACCAGAGACAGTTTTGGAGCCAGAATATGGAACATTATTTGTTCCATATTCTCAGTTTATTTGTTGAGACAACAGAATACAGAACAGGTAAAGATGACTGTTTCTTAAAATACTCTAAGCTGGTGTGATTCTCATAACTGATTATTAATGAATATAGTTGAAATTTATGGTTTATGCTACCTTCCACTATTTAACTTTTCATGGATCTTTCCTGTGCATGATAGCAAAGGTAGGCTCTGATCACAAGATACACAGCCTGGTAGTGCTACTGCCTTGATGAAGTTTCATCATAGAGTGATCACTGGGCAATACTGAGAACATTTTATGAAAATCAAGCCGCTAAAGCTTTAGTGCGAAATTCTGGAGGCACCACTTCTTGCTGTTATGTGTGTTCCAGCCTCCCAGTGCAGCATCTCACTGGGGAACATGGCAAAGCTAGATGGTGTTTAACACAACTATGTTTCAAGTGATTTTTTTTCCCCAAAATCCAGAGACAGACAATATACCAAGAAGCTGTAACTTGTTGTTTTTTTTTCAGAAATATCTTTGTGTGCAATTAGGATGTGAAGCATCTAAATTAATGAAAAAAAAAAATTTAAAATGGGTGTTTGTGTGTTTCTGCCTTTTTTTTTTTAACTTGGTAGGTTTAACCACTGTTCTCAATGTTTTGTTACACAGTGTCATGTTCCTTTTTAAGCTCTTGCTTCTTTATATTAATATTGTTACTTCTTGCTATATTAATAGGCAAAATCCTTAGGTTTTGAATAATTTCTTCCTCTCACATTAGCAGATATAGCTGCAAAAACTCAAAAAAGCAACAGGAATATAAAATTAATGGTTTGGAGGAGAGTTTATTGAAGCCAGTTTCCTGACTTGTGGGCCCCTGACAATTTCAGTTTGATCTTAATCTTTAGTAGTACAGATTTTGGAGATAAAAAAAGGCATCTAGCTGGCACTGTGGTATGACTGAACTACATAGTAGTTCTCTTGCAAGCAGAGAAAGTAGCAAATGAAAGAGCAGGCCCAGAGGTTTCCCAGCCCCCAGACGACAAAAGAGAGATCTAGATATTACTTCAGCAACTTATAGGTCAGAGAAACTAGGTGAGGCCAAAATAGAGCACTGAAAGGAATCCAGAACAGCCCTGTCAATAAAAAGTCAAAGCATTTTCATCACTCCACCACTAGCCTGTTTTGGTTGCAGCATAATAGAAGGAGGCAATTAAGAAATTCAGAAAGAACCAAATTAATCTGATTAAAAGTGCAAATAGTAAAAAGGTACTTCTCTCCTGTTTTTTTCTTTTTTTTTTTTTTAAACAGAAAATTCACCATGCTATGAAAAGGCTTCTCATGCAACTGTTGATTGGTTTATCAGTTTTTAAAAGACTGGTTGCAATGGGTTAAATGCCTCTGGTTCTTTTTTTTCTCAGCAGACACTTAAGAGCACTCCCCTAGGTTTTTTCTTAAGGAAATGTGATCTAAAGAGGAAGGGGAAAGTTCAGAAAAGCTCCATCTGAGACTTGCTCTCCTGGCAGCAGTCATATGTCCATCCTACCTTATTGCTTCCATTTGGAGTTGAAATCATACAGGATACAGCCCCACAAGGGCAAGCAGAGGCAACAAAGCAGCTGATTTCCAGATCATTGAGAGTACCTGAGAGACTCCCATAAAGCAGCAGTGTTGTTCCTGTTGCTCCCCTACTTCTGTTTTGTTAAGTTTTAAACAGGAAGGTTTTTGACAGGTATCGCACATGAACTTGCAAGCATTACTCTGTAGGTAAGTCTAACCACACACCAGGGTTACACACCAGTGCATCTCATTAAGGCAGTTCACGGAACAGATTTGCATAGTTTAATATTTCCCTGTTCCCAAGTAGAGTGGCATTAAAGCTGTTAACTTGTTCAAAAGTTGCAGTTGTGTGTTACAGTAAATATATGCCTCTCTTATGATAGCAAACCCATTTTAAATGATGAGCTACACATACTCTGATATCTGATGATCCACCCTCTCTCTGAGTTTTGAAATCTGTATACAGTCACAGACCAAAGCTGTATTATTTCTTCCTGTCTGGGTAATATCAAGTCAGCTATATTCTATCAGTACTTGTGATACATTTAATAATTATAACAATCTGCTGGAGGGTTGGGTTTTTTTTTTTAAATACGCTTTCTGCTTTTGATGTTTCTGATCACTATGGAAAGCTTATGCTATTTTATAGTCTGCTGACTAAGCTCATATGCACGCCAGCTGCATTTTATCAGGGAACAATGTTTGCCTTTTAAACTGGTTGATAGATTTTACTTAGAATCAAGAGGAGATGTACATTCTTTTGCAACACTTAGAACCTTGTTCAGCACAATATCCATTTGCAGAAAGTCATAGCCTCCAGCTAAACAGTGCACCACCCCATGGCCATCAGCCCAAAAGAAGTAGGGGAAAAAAAAAAAGAAAAGAATCTTACAGCCAGGAAGGACCAAAAGTTTATCTGCATCATAACAAAACCAGGGTCACCCCATGTCATTTGGAGAGATGTTTTGTCCTACCTGTTCCTGAAGCCTTTCAACAGAGATTACACACCTTTTCTTAACTATGTTTACAAGTCCTTCATTACCCTACTGGGAAGCTTTGCCTTGTATCAAGAAGTGAGCAAGTTAAAGGATATTCAGGAGCTTTTAATCCCATCTCCTTCAAGTGTCTAAGGAAAAGTGTTAATTTCCTTTTGCAGCAACTTTAAAAACTGAAACCAGTACTTAAGCTATTACATATTCCCTTGAAGAAACAAGCCAAGTTCCTTATGGCACATTTTCTACACCTTTAGATTCTCTCTATTACATCCACCTCTATTGAAATGCAGAGCCCAAACTCCCACACAGAGCCCCAGAGGAGCCTAATCAGTACCAAGAGCTGAAGGACTACATCATACATTATCCAGCAAGTCAAAAGGCTGCCAAAGGACACTGAGCTATCAGGTTTCCTTCTCTCCCTCTCCCACCCTCGCAGGGCATAACTGCATGATTAGCTGGGAGAGCTACTCAGGAGGACCACTGCTGTAAGCCAGGATAGCAGTTCCTACATACAACTAAAAGTTAGTCTTCAGCCAGCTGACTTCACTATGTCTTCCTTGTTTGTCCTATGAATGACAGGTGTAGTCAAAACTACTGACCAAAAAATGCATTTAAGGAGGCTGTTTTATAGACCAATATGTTCTGTTTATTTTTTTTCTTGGAGCAGTGTTTTCTGTCTCTTCATTGCTTGGGTTCCTTTTCTCCCAAGAATTATCCTCTCTCTGCATTCTCCCCCGAATTGGTGAAGGGGTCTCATTTTACAGATTTTCAAAACTGTAAGGGAGTATCAAATAATTTCATCTGACTTAAACCCAAGACACAGAAATTCAGAAATCATTAATGCAGCAGATGACCTTTATTTTCTAGGAGCAGTGCTGCCAACAAAGGATATTAATTTGAAGGCATCAGAACTTTAGAGTTATTTGTTGGTTTTTTTTTATTTTATTTTCATTAGTGGATTGTTTTTCCCTATAGGAAAAAGGGCACATGCTTTTAAACTTTGCATTTGTCTTTAATTTCCAGTCATTGGTTCTTGCTATACTCTTAAGTGATAAAGAGCTCTTTTGTACTCATTTTCTCTCCACAAGGATTTATGCATGCTTAAATCACCTTTCAATCTCTTGACAACTGCAACCTTCTTTAAATGATTTTTTTCTAGTCCCCAAATGCTTTATGGTAGATTTCTAGCTGTAACCCACATTTTTTTTTTTCAGTACTTTCATGTACTGAATGTTGTAACCAAATTTTTGTTAACTCTATATGACTTTGAATAGCGTAAGAGAGTAAATCTGCCACCTACCTTTTATTGTCATTAATACAGGTAAAAATGTTACCCCCTTTTAATCGCTCCATCTAGCGGGTGCTCACATTCAGTTGTTTGTCCTTTTTCATCTGGGCATCTTGTGTGCTGCTTCTCAATACCCTGGCCACTGGTCTGAAGTCTTTGCTGATATTCTCTGTTCTTGGAGGGCTCGTCTTTCTTTAACACAGCAAAACTTGGCTTTGCTTTAAAGAATGCAGGTTACTAAGCACTTACACAAGGATGCTGTTCTAACCTCACTGGAAGTTAAGAAGGTTATCGCAAAGCTTCCCAGGAATCTTCAGCTGCCCAGGGAAGGGGGAGCTGGGGAGGACAGGGGGATGGACTAGATCCCAATTCCCCTGCTCCGGCAGGGGGATTGGACTAGATGATCTTTCGAGGTCCCTTCCAATCTCTAGCATACTGTGATACTGTGACCCCAAAGGCATAGCTTGATAGGAGCACCTTTGTGTCCTCATTCCTGCAAGCAGCACAAGGATTCAGCAGCCAGTACTGCACAGGATGACTGCCCTCCCTTCCTCCATCCTCTTGCAAAGCCTCCCAGGCTTGTTCTGAGGCCTGAAATCAAGGCTTAAGTTTTCTATGACATTATAGCACAATCATACAGAGTGTGCAGGTAGATTAACAGTGACAGGATCATCAGCCCTTATGTTGTATTGAACTTTCAGTTTACAAAGCTTCTAGAGACAACATTAATTTCCACCCTGCAGGAAACAAGTACTTGCTTTTTACTATACAGAGTGACTAAAGGTCAGCACTGAAGAAAACAAAGGTTATATGGGAAAAAGTTACTTTGCTTGCTTATGTAGCATTGCTAAAACTAGCATATATGCACAGCAAAATATTTCTGTTGGTCCACAGGTCCCATACTTTAAGTGGAAACCATTTGTTTCTACCTCAAAAAGATCCTTCCTGTCTTCTGTAGCAAGGAAGTCACCTTTTAGTCCTTTCCTCTGTTATTTAAACAGGACGTCACCAGCTAACAGAGTACATTTCTATGTAGTGTTGTGTCTTTAGAATACAAGTGCAAGCTGTTTAAGACATTAGCAATAACTATCAAACGCTTGAAGCCTCTCTGGGGAAGAGGGGGGTTTGCACAGGAATTTTGTGCACTGCTAGAAATCCCTACCAGAGTTTCTTACTCCATGCTCACTTCAGAAGGCAGCCTGAAGATGTCTCATAGTAGGAACTCTGCCATTTTCTCTTTCCAGATAGCCTTTTAATTCTTAGGAAAGTTGACTCTGAAAAATGGAGCACAGACAGTCTTGAGCCTGTCTAGACATTCTGTTTGCAGAATGTTTAATGTCCTGGTATAACATAGCTGGACTATAGCAGTGGAAAGTTATGAAGGCAGGAAAAACAACAGGCAGAACTTCTGGTTTAACAGGCATAAATACTCTGCTGCTGTAGTTGCTCATAGGTGGTAGTCTGCAGGAGGCTAGGGAGCAATTATCTACATTATGTCAAAGAAGCTCTGTCTAGACAAATCAAAACTTCTTCCCACAAAGGTTTACCCTTTTTTGCATACCTTTTGTATCCCAGAAGTTGCTAGGAAGAACTGTTAGCCATCAAAAGTGACACTGAAAGGCACCATCCAACGCCTCAAAGACAAGAATCAGAAACCGGTTTGTTGTACCTTTCTTTCCAACCATATTCCTGTATGGACACAGTTCTTCCACATGCTCTTTTTTTTTTTTTCTCTCCCACATTTTAGTAAACAATCCACCAAGATACATGAAACCCAAAGTAACACATAGGGTTAGAAACAAAACAACAGCAACAAAAAACCCAAACACATACACCTCCACCCCAAAAAAACCCAAACCAAAAACCATCACCAACAAAAAAATACCCCACCAGCACCATCCCTAAAATGCAACCTAAAACTCAGGAACCTCAGCAGGTAATCTCTGAAGTACTTTGGACCACTAACTCCACAAAGATCTATTATCAACAATTAATTGTGTTGATCGGCTGAATTAAAGTCACCTTTATTGTTTTAAGCAGTTGACCCACTGAGCTCTCAAATACAAACCAAATACTCAAGTTATCTCATCCTTAGCATAGAACAAGCCTTGTACCTAATGCAAATCCTGGATTGAAGACATTAATATTTACCCTTACTTTGTTTCCCTTTCAATGAGCTGCATCACAACTGTAAGCACTACTAAAATCTCTTGTATTGATGACTTCAGTCTCAACTGAATTAACAGTTAGTACCAAACATGCAATTTCAGACTTTTTTTATATTAAAAGAGTTCACCTAACACAAAACACAAGTGTTAAATTGCTGGGACAGAAGTTAGAGAGTTCAAAGCAGGGAAAGACATAAGACAATTGAAGTCGGCATAAGGCTCTGAGGTGGTGCTTATTATAACCATTTCCTTGAACTTCAATTCTGTCTTCTGTTGTCAGTAATTTCAAACAAGAAGAACAGCAGATTTGCATTACATTCAGGCATACAAGAGTCACAAATTATGGGTTTAATAAGAGCCGTTTGACTCCTCTTCCTGTAAAGAGGACATCACTCCCCAGTCTAGGACATCAGTACAGCCACGTAGGCTGGCTCTCCACCTGCCTTGGACCTTCACCCTTTCTGAATCATCTCAAATCTCTGTGCAGTCATCTAGTCTGCTCCAGGTAAACAACACCAATGGGATTACAGGGCTAGCAGAAATGACTTGCTGGCCTTTTCTGAAGTCCAGGTTACGCCTAGGGCTTTTAGATACAGATCAGCTTGTGCTGGGGAATTTTCTGCACGCTGTATTCTCTTAATGCAGTTACAATTGGAACTCAGTGTTTTACGATTTGGGGTCATCCTTCTTTAGATGTGGTCAAATAATGAATAATCCCATATAGTTTACTGCTGCAACTCAGTAATACCAAAGTTACCTTGAAACAGCTTTTTGATTAAAAGGGAAAAGATAACAGGCAAGAGAAAAAATAGAGAACCGAGATGCAGAGATTTACTTTCAATTGCTATTCTTCCTTTTGCCTCGCATCAGGTACTTCTAATATTAGAGCTAACAAGTATTATGGCCTATTACTTTTAAAGCATGATCAGTATCTAAATATAGGAAGGGTAGTGCAGTAACTGGCATCCATTAGTTTCTTGGATTTAGGACTCAACAGTGAGATCAAGCCCACCTTCAGACCACTCACTGAAACTGTTGGTCTCCTGGATACCTGTGCAATTTGCATTTGGGTCTGTGTCCATGCAACCACCTACACATACCTTGCTAAAATTACTTCAGGTGTTATATTAAGAACATTTTGGAATATTATAAATCTACAGATATTGTTCCTTAGGATTTCTGCATATCATACTACAAAATAGCATGGGGCAGAAACAGCTAAGTCCCTGTATAGATAAAAATTTGAAGAGACTTATTTCTTCGAATTAATAGAAATGTCTGGTCCGGAAGCCATATGCAAAAGGAAAATAATGATATAAATAAACGTAATTGAGCATTAGTTACACTGGAAACAGCAGTAATGCAGATACCTACAACTACTGGGAACTAAGCACATCTGAGCAACTCCCTTCTCATCTCTCTATGTATGTCTGTGCCTTTCCAGATAACCCTTTCCAAGACCAATTTTGAGTATCGCCTTAACAAATGCGAGACAGACCCTAGAACACTCCTAATGAGAACAGTAAATTAGTTGAAGAAGTTACTGGCTCACTAGCAAATTTGTGAGTTTTAATTGGGATAACAATGCCAGGAAAAAGAAGATCACAGAATCTGTAACATAATTTGTTTACATCCTGAGCTATACAACACTATGAAATATTAAAACAATCTGTACCAAAGAGGTAAAAATTGTTAGACAGTGGCTATTGCTGAATTGCAGGACACAATTAACACTAATAATTTGTTAACCCTTCCTGACACAGAAACTCGTAGTTACCACATGTGATAGTTACTGGTTTAGACAAAGCTGATATTAAACAATTCTGTTTAATGATATAAACATAAAGGGAAAGTACTAAATTTGCATTAAGAAAATGCAAAGGAATTTGGATAGCAGAGTAGTAAGAGTGAGGCTAAGACAGATAGAATGTGAGGACAAATGTTGTTCTAGAACCTTACAAAAAGAAGAGTTAGCTAAAAGTTCTGGGTTGTTTTTTTTAAGTGATTATGAGCTTTTCTTTCTACCTCAGTTTCAGAAAGACCCAGTCACTAGGTTTTGGGTTTTTTTCCAAACAAGGAAGTAGCTATAAGTGACATTGTCAAGTCTTTGTCCCTTAGCAATGCATAGTCTAATGATAGCTAAATTCAGCTGTTTCTCACCTGGGCTTTAGAGCTATTCTAGACCCTAAAAGTTCCCATTGGCTGTTTATTGTGTGTATTGTGTAGCAGCATGCTAAGCAATTTCTTTACCATAACCACAACCTGTATTAGTTATGTCAGGGTAAGTAACATCAACACCAAAGTGATTTCAGTCTAAAGCTGCTATTTGCAAGAGTCCCTGCTTCTGAAGGGGGCACAACCCCAACACAATTCATATAGCAACTAGAGTTTAGTAGGTAAGAAATCACCAGGATGGCAGCACCAATGCAGCTTTTAATAATGATTTTTTTACAGATAAGTAAGAAGCTTTGATATAAACATTGAGAAAGTTACATACAGAGTACTAATCAGATTATAACGCTTCTGCCTCCTAAATTAGAGTTGTTTGAAGGTTCTTATGGTACCACACATGTGATGGATTGAAACACTTGGAATAGAAGGTTGCAGAGTTGCTCATTTTCACTTTTTTATCTTTACTACACAATACACCAGTGATCTCCAATGAAGATAGGTGTCATGATCCAGCTCCCAGTTAATTCAAAGAAGATCTCTATATTTATTTCAATGCTGAATATGTGCTATTTTTTCCATCAGCAACAGTATCTACTCATAAAGTGATCTACTTCAACACCTTGCATCCAAAACAGTAAGAAGCTCTCCTACAAGATTCTAGCAGACTTTAGCATAGAAGTAATAACTGCCTTCACAGTTACTTATATTTTCAGAGTTGTTTTTTTGTTTTTTTACTGTTGCCCATCTGCTAACCTTATAAACCTACTAATTGCAAAAACAGAGCGATAACAATAACCGAACATTTAACATTAGGTAAAAATACACTCACACACTGGATAATCCACAAAATTTGCACTCTAGAGACTTCTGTGAGAGAAGCAGGCATTTCTGTATACCAAACATTACTGCTACCTAATACCCTGCCAGCAGTACCAAGCACTTACAGGCCTTTATACAGCTTAGGTGCAAGTGAGAGGAACCACTACTGGAGGCAAAGGTTCCCAGAAAAGTGATTAATTCATTTTTAAGGATGATGGTTTCAGATTGACAGGAGCACCAATGCTGGGAGCAATCCACTGAAAGGCAGGCGTTTTCAGCAGGAACATCAGCATTGCTGAGATTGCTCAGGCTCTGAATATGCCTGACCTCTCCTAGAGTTCTGTTCTGTAGCCAGATCCCCTCAGCTAAGTAAGAATTTGTTCTCAGTTCTGGCTCTTTGTTCTGGGTGTTACAGTGTGTGTTGTCCCAGGAAAGCTCTGTTAGGGGCCGACAGACATGCCTAAAGCTCAGTCTGGTTCCCAAGAAGTACCAAAGCCTCAAGCTGGTATCAACAGCTTGCTGAAACGTAAGGAAGAAACTTGAATGGATATCTAACATTACTAAGATGTCCACAAAAAAAGACATAAAAACATTATACTGCTTTGGCCTGTGCATTATCCTTGCTTTCAGTACTTGCACTTCTGCTGAGTGACCATTAGCCAACTAGAAGATGGCATCTTCCATCTGTGTTTGGAAGAAACTAAGAACATTTTTCTCCAAGCAAATTCACAGAAGTTGTTTTAGAAGGAGACATTATCTGATAATGCTAAGGTAGGGTCCTTAAGTTTCATATAACAAATTAAGCATGTAGATATTCAGGAAAGGTGGAGACTCACAGCTTTGTTATTGCTATTTCCCCACCCCCTACTTTTCACCTCCATAAACTCATCAGTAGTAGGAAAGACTGTTCTGTACCAATAACATTCTGTCTTCAGGCTGCAGTTAAATACTTACCTGCAGAAACAGTGGCAGCTGTTAAAGGTGGAGGAAGGTGGCCACCTCCACTGTAGAGGACAAGGGACGTGTGCCTCTCAGCAGCTCCAGGGCAGAAGTCCTAAGGCTCAGGAAAACCTGCCCTTGCAGCTCCATTGGGCTAAGCTGTCTGACTGCGTATTTAAAACAGATGTGGGATGTTTGTGAGCTCTGTCTTACCAGTTCAAGTGTCAGGTGATTGTGATTGGGAATGATATGGGGCTTGGGGGAGTGTGTGTGTGAAGGGAGAGGAAATATGGATAGGTTAATATTTTAAGATGTCAGCAAGCTTCTGAGGAAGGGGATGTATTGAAAACCAAATTTTTAAATTTGTTTAGACACCTTTTGGTGATGTATCATTAACTGGAACAGAAAGTAATGTAGGAATTTGAGTGTGCTGTGAGTGCTTATCTATTCTAGGCTATAAAAGGACTGTGAAACCTCACACGGAGGCTCAGTAGTGCTCCTTACTATTGTAAGCACTGATAGAGTAGCACCCTGTGAACTGCAGTGTTTTCTAGTGCAGGTATGGCTGGAATGATTTGCAAATGCAATCAACTTAAATCTTTCCCCTTTGTGTGCTTGCAGCAACAGCAGGAATGGTATCAAGAACGTTCTGAAGGCAATACCAGGCATGGTGGGGTGCTCTATTCACCTGTGGTGTAAATATAACAGTAAATTTACAGCCTTTTTACAAGTGACAAAGCCAAAACACAGGAAAAGATCTGTTAGTGGCCAGCTGACACCCCCAGATGGAGTTGTGGCTCTAGCCAGTGATGCAAGTAATAGTAAATCACCATAGGGGGTGTTAGTGGTAGAGCTGGGGAAATAATCCCATGAAGCATAACTCCTACTGTTATTTACCTTTGTACCCCCAGGTGTTTAATGCAGAATTTGCACCAGCATTAAATAACTGTCTTTAATCATATTTTCCCACTAGCCCTTGTGTCCCATTCAGTTCTCAAGGACTGTCTTACCATTGAAGTAATTCTCTTTTTAAGAAAGATAGTTTTGGTAGGATGCATTAAGAAAAGCCCTTAGATTCAACGTAGAAGATAACTTTTGTTTTCCAACTCCCTTACCTTATCTTTGCAGTAGAAATAACTGATGTTTGAGAGAAACTGGTTTTCTCTTGGCTATGAATTCTCATGTTAGAAAACTTTTTGAACCAAATGATGCAAATTTCTATTAAATATAAATTCTTAATTTCTGATGCTGAGCTCTGGAAAGTATTAAATATGACTATCCAAATTTCTGAGGAATTATGACTTTAGAGGAAACTGATGTTTGCTATCTCCCAAGGAAAGGTAAAAAGTATATAGCATAGAATTTTAGGAAGAGCTGGTTCAATATTCCATTTGCTTAAGGGTTGTGACAGTGACAATTCATTTTGCCTTCCTCTGTCAAAGTGGAAATAACTATTTCTAAATGCAGTATTTATCTATATGGATAAGGTACAATTACTGTCAGTACAGGCTGTGCTGGATTTTAATCTGAAAGTTAGAAATAGCTCTCAGTAAAGACCTTAATTTTGCAACTGACCAACGTGTATGCTTTTGGAGAAGTGGGACTGAAAATATCTGAAAAAAAAAAACTAAAAAAACCTTTATTTAGCAATCTGTGCAATTTAAGGATGCTGTCAATACAGTATATGCATGACAGCTTTTTCAGATGATTAAATGCCCAGCTGAAGTAGGGTCTACAGCCATAGAAGCTGTTTGTTGAGGATATAAACAGCACCATCAATATTTTTTCACTTATATTAAAAAAAAAGGAAGATGCAGTGATTCTTGAAATAATGTAAATCTCTTCTTGACACTTGAAAGTATAGAACACAGTCTTGTTTCACTCATCTTCCTATTGGGATGACCTGGTTGCCTCTTTCAGATGGGCTCAGGTGGTTAGCATCAGTTTGGTATGCAGTTTGGGTGAGAGGATGAACCCAGCAGATCATATCTAGTATCTGTTGTTTTTCCATTGTTTGGATGGCTGAACTTTTTTACTTTACCTGTAAATCTTGGTGACTCAGTTGAACACTCACTATATTTACTGCCAGAGCTGCCTTGGGGCCACATAGGAATGCAATGGTGGTTTCCTTACAGTCTGTTTCCAAAGAAGAGCCTCCTTCCCTGGAGCTCAGCCTTGAGGCATTTTGCTTTGGTGTTTTCTGGACTTCTTCAGCCTGAAAATGCCAGCTCTGTTTTGTTGTTGTCCATGGGTACCTGCCTCTGGGCATTGCCCCTGAGCTCCAAGAGGATGATTCCTCTGGCCTTCTTAGAGTAATCTGAGAAGAGGCGTCCTTATGCCACTTTCTCAAGAAGATGCATCAATTCATACCATCCCTAATCCTTTAATCCTGTGAATTTTGGTGTTTGGAATTTTCAGTTCAAGTATTGCATAATACTTATCAAGGAAATAGAGGAGGAAGGAAAGGGGAATTAATGTGTTGGTTTGATACCTGCAAAGACTTCTGAGAAAGGAAGAAATTCTACCAAAGTGTGATAGAGGACAGATTATCTAAAAGTTAGTCTCTAGATTATCTTCAGGCCTTGGGCCACAGTACCATTACTTTATGTTCTGTTGCAGCTGGGGTGTCTGAGCTGACTTATTCACGTCCTCAACTCTTACCACTCTCCCCCTTTCCAGCACTTTGCAGAGAAACAAGATGAAAAGGGAGAAGCAAAGAAGAAATGGTGAACAGAGGCTAAGAAAGTAAGTTGCCTAAGGTGGGAAATGTGTTCAGCAACCTATGGGTCTCTTGTGTGCTGATCCACCTGAACACAGGAATTTTGACCTTCTTAAAGCATGTACAGGTAACAAAAGCTCTTCAGAACCTAGTAACTGAAAGAATAAAGCTGAGTTGCAGGGTGAGCAGGGAGTGCAGCTGCCCTGACAGTATGTGGAGGCTCTCCCTTAAACTCTCTTCTCCCTGTCTACCTGGAAAGCTGTTTGAGGAGCCCTGTGCTCAGTGTTGTGGCAGGGAGCTGGGTAAAGGTCTTGCCCTTCTCACCAGGCATCTGTGACCTGGCAGCCAACCGTGGGAGTTTACACCTCAAGGTTGATGTTACTTGATCTTGCTGATAATTTCAGGAAATGTGGTAACAACTACAAAATGATACAATAGCCTTTAGTGAATTCTAACCTGTACTAAACGATTCTGTAAAACATGATTCTGGTATCATCACTTTGTGACATGATTTTTTGGAACAAATTAAAAATATTTTATTAACATGTTGGTGTTCCATGACAAATTTACAAGTTCAATCTAGAATCAGGTAACTTTTTCATAATATGGTTTGCACACTATTTAAGTGTATAATTTGGTAATTTCAAACTATTCTTTGGCTAAACAAGAGGGGATCTAATCTTTCTAATTTGAAAGAGTTTTATATTTATTTAGTTAACTTCTTTTTATACCCTTTATGAATAACTGCTCTGTACCTAGCTAATATTTGCTTGTTCTGCAAAATGCAGGACTTGGGTTGATTGAAGCATTACCTTTCACATGTGGATGAAGATCTCATATAGCTCAAACGTGCTGTGGTGTCTTCTTCAGCTAAGGAGCACACTTCTGCATCCCTAGTCTACTGCCAATGGGTTGACAAGCAGATGTAGGTCCTTGTATAAATGTTATGTTTTATAAGCTATTAGAATACTGTGAACAAACCTGTCATGGTGAATGATGATTCTTTTTTTCCTGTTAATTAGCTCCTCTTGTACCAGAAGCTGTTTTACTGAAATATATGGGAATGTGCTAAGTTTGCACCCTTGATTTATTGCTTTAGTCTCATAATCTATTTTTTTAAAAATGCACTATTCAAATTTGCCTTCTAGTGCTAGATGAGAGATCATTAACCTGCTCTCCTCAGAGCAAGGATACCAGTGATGAAAGCTATACCTCTAGATAGCATGAAGGAAAACCTCTCAGAACGCGAATATAGCATTACTACATTACTACAGCATGACTGCAGGATTCAATACAGAAAACAGTAAGATGATAGCAATTGCTACAGAACATAGCTTTGTTATGTGTTATAACCAGAGCTCTCTCGATTTTGAAGTACATGTGAGTCTCTGAGGTGGCTGCTCTGATGTCCTCTGCTCACTTGCGTTCAGTGTTAAATAATGTCTACTTGGTCTGAAGTGTTCATGCCTGTAAAGGCTTATTTATGATGGACCAAACAAACACACAAACACTGTATTCTCGTAGCGTTGCGTGGCCTTATTTGCAATAGGAAAAGCTGGATGGTTGTTTTTGTTTAGCCAATAAGCTAAACTGGGGGAAGAAGGCGCTGCAGATGAGGGCAGCGCCTCTCCGAACTCTCCCGACCCGTGGAGGGCCGGAATCATGGGCGTCCTGTTACCTGCAAGCGGTTCCCCCAGCCCGAGCTCTCGGAGCGATACGCTTAGAGCAGGGTGCGGGACAGCCTCGGGGCACCTGAGGGGATGTCCCCGGCAGAAGCTGTGTCTGCAACCCCCGCCGCGGGACCGGGACCGGAGCCGGGCGGACGGTGTGCAGGTGCCGGTAGCCGCAGACGGCGAGACGGGGCGGTGGGAGCGGGCGGTCGCCGCGGTCTGCAGGTGAGAGCCGTGCTCCCCCGCCGCGGGGCTGGGCAGGGGGCAACAGCCCAGGGCTCACCTGGCGGGAGGCGACCTCCGCGGGGGACAGTCGCTCTGCGGTGATAGAACTTCCGCGCACGTCCGAGGCCCCCGGCCCGCCCTGCTGCTGGCAGGAGGCGCTGCCGCAGGGTGCTGGTGCGGGCCCATCTCGGGAGCCGGTGCCGCCGCGGCCGGACTCTTTGCCGCGCGGCGGCGGCGGCGGCTCCCGTTCGCCCCCTCCCCGCGCGCTGCCTGGCGGAGGGAGACGGCGCGTGGTACCGGTCTCCATGGCAGTGGGCTGCGTGGGCGGAGTGGTCGGGGCCGCAGCGCGTCGGTGAACGAGAGCGTGAGCGAGCGAGGGAGGGAGGGAGTGCGCGCCCCCGGCCCTCTCCCGCCCCTCGGGTGTTTGTGTCAGGCTGCAGGCAGCGGCGGAGCGGCCCCGCGGCGCCGGCCCGGCCGAGGGGCGCGCACTCAGCCCGCCTCTGAGGCGAAGAGTCCCTCTCCTGTCCCCGCTCCGCGCCGCTCCCGCCATGGGCGGCCCGTAGAGCAGGGGGCTCGGTGGCTGGTTGCGGTGCCTGCGCGGCGGCGGCCATGGCGGTGGCGGTGGAGACGCGGCCGGAGCTGGTGGGGAAGCGGTTCCTGTGCGTCGGCGTCGGCGGCGGCGAGGAGCCGCCGGAGAGCGGGCGCTGGCGGGCCGGGGTCATCCGTGCTGTGTCCCAGCGGGACTCACACAGCCCCGACCTGGCGGTAAGAGCCGCGTTCCGTCCCATGCCGGGCCGGGGGGCTGCGGTGGGGCCGAGGCGGTGGCGCGGGGCCTGCGGCGGCGGGGGGGGCGGTGGGACGCCCCGGGCGGGTCCGGCGTGACACAGCCCTTCGCCCGGGGGGCGGCGGTGCGGGGCAAGAATGCGTGTCAGCGCTCTGGTGGTGGGGACGGCTGACGTGGAGCCCGCGCCGCCGCCGGGGGTCGAGGCCGGGGCGAGACGCGTTTATCCACGGCATGTGCTGCCGCGGCTCGGGGGAAACGACTCCGGCCCTGGCCCCGGTCTTCTCCGTGCCCCTCGTGCGGATGCGGGCCCTGGCTTTGCAGCTGCGTCCGGCTGCGGTGGCGTTAGGAGAGGGAAAATACCTGGCCTGGCCGGCGAGGCAAAACCAGCCTGCTCCTGGAGCAGCTGTGCTCGGGCTGGGGGCGAATGCGCCTGTGCTAGGGGAATGCAGAAAGCGTCGTCATGTAGCCCTGACCGACGGGGGCTAACGTGCTGGACGCGGTGGTGATAGCTGTTACTGAAAGAATGTCATTGTTTCCCTTCCTTTTATGTCCGCTGTCACTGTTTTCCTAAGGGGTGTAGGAATGTGCGTGGAGGCTAGCGAAGGAACCAGGATATGTTCTGTTGTGCTCAGACACACTCTTGCTGGGGAGGGAAACACGAGCAGGATTTCCTTGGGTTAGTGTTCTGAATGCATAAGCTGTAAAATGGAGTTTTATTGTGCTTCGTGAACTTCGTCGTTATTTCCTTTGCGAGTTTTGTGGTCAAGCGAGTGCTACGGTATTGCTGTGGCTGTCTTCTTCCGTGATTTTTACATTATTTGGTGCTTTTGAACGCACATTTAAAAATACCACGACTATGTAAATGGGCATTACGTAGGCTGAAAAAAGGGATCACCAAATTGCGCTGGGCAGCCCGTATTGCTACTGGTGAGGGGGAGGCGTTCGCAGCCGAGCACAGTTAGGAGTGGAATGTTGCCTTTTTTACAAACTCATCAAGCAAACAATTGCCTGGTTTTGGAGCTTATTGATTGCTTGTTGAGGAAAGTGCAATTCGCAAAAATGACGAATTCTTTTTTTCATACATCCCAGGCTTTAAGCCGTGCTTTAGAATCAGAATGTATGTGACACTGGAAATACTACTGTTTTGCTATATTGTAGGCTGTTTATGTCCCCTTCTCCCCCTCCCCCCCCAACTATAATTCAAGTAGCATGCTGTTTATGCCCTTGTTTATAAAATGCCCTGTGTTTTCAATCTTTGGTTGTATGTGAGAATAGTCTAGAATGTTTTATTTTTATAACCTATTTTGGATGTTCTTGCAGGACAGTATTCTCTAGAATCTATATACAATTATGGAAACACTGAGTAAGGTTTAAGGAGCTGTTTACTACCATTTACAAGTCAGAGCCATAATTTGTAAACTCTAGGGGCAGAGCTGACAGAGAAAGGGCATTAAAACCAAGGCATTTCAGAGGCTGTTACGTTAAATGGATAACATGCACTGTCTGTCGTAAATACTTGCTCCTGTTCCTAACTTCGCTGAGTGTTTTTATCTTCGTATAGTCTTTCATTACAGTTCTTAGTAATTTAAGGAAGAACTGTAGCGTTATAGCTGTTTTCTGAGGCAGGATGACTAAGGGTATGCTTGTATGTTGTAGTAGAGTGCTATTTGGATAGATCCAAACTACCTGGGGAGCAGGATGAATGCTCCAGCCTGCACTTCAGCCTGGGTGCAGTGCGGTGCTATTGTGGCCATATTCCTTCTGGTATTCAGGCTAGCAACAGAGTGCTGCATTATGCTGTGTAGATAGATTTCTAGTCACCTAGGAGTGCTGTAAGCCTGGGAAGGTTTTGGAAATACCATCTAGGTCTAATGAGTCACAGATTAGAATTTACCTACTGGAGCGTCATTGCCCCTCTAAGTGCAGTATTTGTTTTTTGTGTTACCTGTTTTCTGTCCCCAAGGCACGAACAAGCATAAATCAGAGAGGGAGTGGATAGAGGAAGAAATGGTAAGGTTTCTGCTAGCAACAGGTAGTTTCTGTGGGTTAGGCTCTCCTTTTGCATTTGTTAGTTGATACTGGTTAACATGAGTATTCTCTTCCCCTACCCCCAGTGGAGGATAAGATTATTTTTTTTTCAGCTAGCCTTGCCTCCGCGTGAACTATCTGAGGTAGATGAGTGCTGCTCTTATACTTTCATGGCTTTTGTCTTGAGGTGGCTTTCCCTATGAGTAGCTTCAGACCCTTCTGCCCCTCATCAGTGGAGTGAAATGGTAATTCTTTTGACAGTTTCACTGCTGCCATAGGATGCAGCATAAAAATTTTGAAATTGACTTTTTGTCAATTTTATGTGTATATCTCGTCCCTCTGAGTGGATGGACATCGCAGAAGTGCAGAAGATGCCCTCAGCTGCAGGAATGGAGTAGGGCAGCAGTGAGCATTTTCAATATGCTTTGCAACCAACCAAAACCAAGTTATCTCTTAATCCTGGCTTTGGAAGAAAGTATCATTACATTGTCTTTGTGTCTTTTATTCCTTAATAAGTATGAACCCCCCAGTCAGTTTCAGTCAATATAAGAGTGCGGAGAGGTCTGAGAAAGATCATCTTCCCCCAGTCTGTGAAAGCTGATGTCTGAGGGGACATGAGAGCTCTCCTCCCATAAAAACCCCATAAAGGTGAGGAGGTTATGGCATTTTGTGTGCTCCTCTTGGAAGCAAAGAGGTGGTCTCCAGCTGGCCAACCAGCATGTACCAAGCTTCAAACCAGCCACAGCATATGCTGCCTCTTGCTTAGCACCATACAGAGTAGTTGATGGAACTGATGGTATGTGAAGGTGGCTTTAAAGGCACGAGAAAGAGCTGAGTGTTAACAAAAGCATGAGTGCAGGCATGAGTGTGGATATGGGAACATATGGATGAATAGAGAGCTTTATGAGGTGCAGGATCTTACTGAGACATTGGCAAGGTTAGAAGCAACTGACATAATTAATCTTAAGTGGCCACAGGGCTTGTAAGAGCAAATCTGCAGGAAACGGAACTTCATTAGTTCTGGTGTAAATAGAACTACTCATTAAATTGGGAACTCCAGGCTTGAAGGCTGGACTAGCTGCTTTCTGCTTGTGAGCAGGCAAATGAAGACTCCAGTTTTCATATGCTCCTAAGTGCACTTTTTGATTTTCATAACTAAAGTAATTAATATTTTGATTATTGAAATTGTTGTGGTAAGAAAATACAGAAAAGAACTCAGGTATCCAGTATCTTCTTCCTGATAGGTCTCTCCTAATCCATGGAAGTATGTTGAATGACTCCTTACTTACATGTTTTATGATTGCAACATAGCTGATATATGGTCTCAGTTTCATTGTAAAATGGGTTTATTGATTGATTTATTTATTTTTTTAAGAAGAATAGTGTCAAAGTGTTTTCCACTATTTTACTGAAATTTGGCTTCCTCAGCTTTCCTGTTAATGTACCACTAGTGAGGAATATGGTGAGAACAACTGTCGCTGGGTGGGAGTGCTGTTGGTCTTCTGGAACATGAATGCACTTGCCGTTACAGACAGATACTTCCTGCTAGGATTTGGAACCCATGCCTCATTTTTAGTCACTGTGTAATGTTTCAGATGCTTTAAAATACCTGCTCTACCTATACAATACGTACAATGTATAAAATTTAATCCAGGAGTTTTCTTGATGATTTTCATGGTCTGAGTCACAACTTGATAGACCATTTGATCTTCCATTCCTGAACATTCCTGTTTCATGAAAAACATGTATCTAGTAATAAAAATACAAGCAAAAAGAAGTTTAACATGTACATGTATTTGTGTGTGTATATGTGTGTGTGTTTCACTAGTCGTTGTGAGAATTCATAACTGCTTTTTCTGCTTAAGTAACAGTGAATGTTGCTAGAAGAAGCTGGGAACTCTGTTTTGCCTTGCTGCTGCCAACTGCTTGGAAAAGCCTGTGTGCTCTCTGATTGCAGTGATAACTGTGGTCAAATAAAGAAAGGGACAGGAGGAAAGAGGTGGAGTCAATGTCATATGATCTCCCTGGGTTTGCTGTCCCAAAAGAATTGCTTTCTGGGTCACACATTGCAAAACGTGTATTTAATCACTACTGATGAGATTTGACATGGTAATGGCAGAGGTGTTCTCTTATACTGTGTTTAAGAAGTGATTATTTAGAGGAGCAATTTTTTTTTTAATGTAAACCAAATTATTAAAATGATTTTGCTTACCAGAAGTGCTTCAGAGTTGTGTGACTTTTCATGATCCTGCAGTTGTACATTGAATATAATCATATAGTCAGCTGTGTATTTTCTCTACATGAAAAACAAAATGGAAATAAGCTTTTAAACACATAATGTGCAACCCTTAATAAAAAGTATAGCTATAAGTTGCAGTGATCTGTAACTGTGTATTTACTGATGCGGGAACTTTGCTGCCATGATATTCATGGGTTGAAAGACAGAATTGAGTACTTTGGTAGTCTTTAATGTTTTATGATAGGCAGATGTAACATACAGTAGTTGTGCATAAGGAAATACATTATAGCAATAAATCACCATGTTAGATATCCTTCATAAATTACTAAATACTAGTGATAGTTTGAAGCAGCTGTTTGATTTTTATTTGCAGTAAAATTATTAAGATATAGTAGAGAAAACAGGACATTAACAGTTTTGGTAAACTGTATTTTTTAAATATCTCATCTTTGCTAATTTGCAAACAAGGAATTGTTAAAAATTCAGTATTTCTGTTAAA